GAGAAGAGAGAGAGAGAGAGAGAGAGAGAGAGAGAGAGAGAGAGAGAGAGAGAGAGCTTGACCATCGCTTTGACTGCCATCAGGACGTTTGCTTTTTATGTAGTAGAGCAGCCGGTCGCCCCGTTAGGTTAGTCTACTGCATATGGTACCTCGCCTTCAAGTCGTCAGAGTCAGGGGTTCGATTCCCGGCGTAAGCGAGCTTTTCTTGCAAAAGTGAGGCTCGCTTTCGTTGCTGGCCTGGGTGGAAAGGGCTAGTTCGTGTACACACAGGGAAGGGACCGCTGCACTCTTGTCGCATAAAAAATCGAAGGCAAAGTACCGCAGGAGGGCTGGGTAGGGGGGAACCCTCCTGGTGACCACGGGTTGGAGTAGACTGCACAAGTGCTGTGAGCGCTGATTTGAAGTGAAGCCGAAAAAAAAAACGGAAGGAGGCACTACTGCTGTAGACCCTATGGACGGACCCCCTGCCGGCTGCGGGCTGGCGAGATTGCAACGTTGGCAATCCTGGCTCTCTCTCACGGCTGTAGAGCCCGTGTTTGTGCAGTTTGTCCGCCCCAGACCTCCATTCGCCGCGAGATTCTCGCCTGCCGGTGGCCCTGGGCCCCGAGGGCCTCGGTCGTGTGCGGCTCGCGGTCGGAGTGGCATTCGCGAAGCGCGAACGGAGGTAGAAAGTCGCGCTCCGAGACCTACCACGAGTCCACCACGCACAGCCCGTGTAATTGACAACGACCAGGCCATTCATACATTCGGCAAGCGGCTGACGTCGTGCGTCGCTGTGCCGGCAGAACATCTTCGCCGCACCCAACAACCGAGCGGCCACGTCTGTCTCCGCACGACACGAGACAAAGCACCCTAATGCCTCCCTTTCGATTCCGACGAAAAGCGGGGTGGTTCGTGGCCGGTGTCGTGTGCACAGCAGCTGGCAAGTACTGCTATACACACCCGCCCAAAAGCAGAAAAGCTGCCGTGAATACGTCGTTATTCCATGGCATATGCATATGTGCCTGCTTTTCGTCAACATGTCAAGCTGTGCGGGCGTTTGTGCGTAGAGAGTAGAGAGCCTAGACAGGGGTTCGAATCCGCGTGGAGAGTCACGTGCGGACGGGTCCCGCCAAACGTGTAGTGTTTATTTCTTTACATTTGTGAAACAAAACGTTTTTTCCGCCTTGACTTGCACGCCCGCGATACAATTGGGTGCTCTCGTCCAAACCGAACTGCTTGTGTTTGATTCTGTTTCGCTACAGAGGGCCGACAGTACGGCGATCTCGTGGCGGAGAGGCTGGTCGAGCTCGTGCGCTCGGAGCCGCTAGAGGGCCGAGATGACCTACACAGGTACACAAATGTTACGTGTACCTTCTTTTGGGACCCTGCTCGGGTATTCTATCTAGGAGCACGATAGGTAGGTGCATCCTCCTGACTCCTGCCTGGTTGCTATGCTATGCTATACTCGTGGACATCCCATTGGGGGCGTGTTCTCTCACCGGCAGTCGATGTTTGCTTTTTTTGGTCTGGGTAGATATTTACACCTTTGGTGGAGACGGCAGTGGTACCCGGGCAAAGCCTGTTGCGTACATCTGATCGTATTCTTCAGCGCGTGCACACCTGGACAAGCAGCCGTGTTCGGTGCTCTCGATGTCGGTACGGCAGAGCTTAGACTTCCAACCTGGTGGTGTCCATACATTGCAGCTCATTTTGTCGGCGGAGCGAGTTTTGGGCTCTCTGCCGTCAAGCGATTGCCTTCCTGAGGGGTCTCCTGGCATTGCCCGCTACGAGGATACGAGATGGCCCTTAGCGAACGTGTGTGCGTCGCCGTTGTTGCTCAGAACGAAGCACGCAGTGTGTCTAGCCCCTTTGAGTTTCTGGGCGCACGATCGCCGCTCCTCGCAACGCCCCCACGAACGCCTGCTCGCCACGAAGCAGGCAACTCGTGGCCGGAGCGGCGACCTACCTCTGCCACACGGCGTGGTACGCGCGGGTCTCCGCGGCCTCGTGCCTGGAGAGCTTGGCGCGCCTGGAGTACGGCCAAGAAGAACCGTCCCGGGCAGCCAAAGCGAAGGAGGGAGGTGGCGGCGGCGACGCGCTGACGGACGAGCTGGCGAGGGGATGGGTCGGCCTTGGGGACGTCCGGCTTGCCGAGGTCTTGGAGAGGGGGGCGCTGTTGCTGAGCCACGGAGAAGATGTGGGTGCTGTTGCGGGTGTTGCTCTCGGGGAGTCTGGTGGCGCTGGCTCGTGGCGGTAGTGCGACTGCTGGGGTCAAGGAGGCGTTGCTGTGCTGTAGTAATTGTTTGAAGGCTGATCATGAGATCTCGTCGAGCAAGCGGTGTGTGCCACCTGCCAAGGTCCTGCCGTGAACGAATTCCTCGACGCACGATTTTTCCCCGTTTGGTGTGCGGTGCTCAATGTACGCGAACTATCCCCCCCCCTGTCATTTCCTGTCCATCCGCCGTGACCCCAATATCTCCCCTCGCCCGCTGAACACTACGTGTCGCGTGTGACGATGGACTGCTGTAACATCGCGAACGCAAGGCCGATGTCGTCGACTCTGAGCGGGCGACCCCTTCCGCGGATGTGGGCACGCGGGTAGGCCGACAGCGAAAACGCCTCCTTAAGTGCCTCGGCCTCGCGGGCGGAAGCGGGGAAGCGCGCGCGGGTTCGCTCTACTCTTGTGAGGAGGCGCCATTTTTTTTTGTGCGAAGCTTCTTTGTTTGCGGGAACGTCAAGGGATTGTAGGAGTTGTGGCGGTTGTTGCCAACGGGTGGTACCGTTGTACGGATGTTTTTTCTCGTCGTCTCGTGATACGTGGTGCTACTGCTGCGTGGGGGGAGAAAAGCCGTTTCCCTGCGCGTGCACAGGGAGTTTATTTGTGCGCGGTGTCTTTGTTGCGGGAATTTAGCGTATACCCACCGATACACGGCCAACAGGGTGCGCCATGCTAATCCCTCGAAGCAGTGTACTGGGTCCTTCTTCCTACAACCTGTCTTGGTACAACCTGGTCACTCGGTTCTTCGTTGTTTGGGCTTTCCTCAGTTATTGGAGACGCTATCGAAGACGAAGACATCGAAGGACCTGCCGCAAATGCGAAGAGAGGGTCATCAAGGGGCGGCGGCAGGTAAGACTCCCGGCTGCTAGTGCAGGTAGGTGCGCACCTCTCGGCAGTTCAACCTGAATGGTAGATGAATTCAGTCGGACACGAACCACTTCGTTGGTACACATGATAGCTGTCAACTGGCATCTACTATTGTACCGCGGCAGCTGCTGCTGCATGTAAAGGCAATTGGGGGTGGTTGATGCGAGTCCTGAAAAAACAGGCAACAACGGGCAAGTAGGAACACTTGTAGAGAGAGAGAGGAGCAGCGGGTGCGCAATTGGGTGGGACTTCCACTATATGAGAGGAAAGCCAGGTCGAGATAATCGTGCTGCGGAGACCGTAGTTACCGGATGTTTGAAAGTTGAGCATCAGAATGCTCATGCGCGCATATATACATCATTTCATGTTGTTTCCACCTCTGGACGTGTATCTCCAGTGTTTTCAAACCCTCCTCGTCACCACCCACCCCCGACCTAGCGGTCAATCCGACCTTGAGCAAGTTTGATACTCTTGAATGGCCTTCCGACCGTATTATTCCACTTCCTGCTGAACGTTCGCGTCTGAAGCAAGCACACGAAACGGTTTGTTCTCATTCGCGTTTCCCGCTTTTGCTGCGATGGCGGCCAACACGGCCACCTATAAACCGTGGGCAGGACCAAGCCGGACGGCCCCATCCCCGCCGCCTCCGGCACCCCCACCAACGTCGGTGGCGGCAGCAGCGGCAGCGGCAGCGGCAGCGGCACCGGCGACGGTGCTCGGCAGCAGCTTAGCGCCCGCCAGCGAAATCGGCTTGCGCGAGAGGCCCGTTCGAATGCCGCCGCCGCGGCCGGCAGATCCGCTAGCCGTGGCGGCGACGGCGGTGTAAAGGGGAAGCGACGTGCCGGACGCGAAGATCACAGCGACGGCAGTGGTGGCGACGGCGAGGACGGACGGGAGGACGAGCCGCCGGCGTTTTTAGGCCGCGGGGCTAGAGGGAGCCTGATGAAGGATGTCGCGTCGAATGCGCGAGAGGCCCTGGTTTCCCTAGCGGCTGACCTTGTAGCCCAGGTGAGGGCGGACGGTTTTGGTGGGTTGGGGAGGTGACGGGGAGGGAAGGTCTGCTTTTTGGCACTGTCATGTCAAGGGTATGTATGCGGGGATTTTCATATTTTTCGTGGTTTCGAGATTGCCCTAGCTTTTTCCCCGCCTGTCCGTCGCCTACGTTTTACATTGTGATGGTCGATGGGAAGCCTCGATTACTACCACATACACTCACAAAGGTCTCCCCCTTCGTCGAAGATGTTGCTGCCTGCCTTCTTGCAAAGAAATTCATGCATTTCTTCTCTCTCTCCTTCACCCTTGGCCTTCCTTTGCCCCCCCCCCCCCGTCATATGACCCTTTCCGCTTGTTGTATTGCCACGTACACGACGCTAGTTGTTCCACCCAAGCTGGCAGTGCCGCCACGGGGCTGCATTGGGGGCGCTGTCTATCCTGCGTGCGTGGAACGCCCGACGTCGCAGGGGAGAGCCGGTACCGTACGGCGCTAGGTGAAGGATCGCCATCCTGAGAAAAAGCCTTTACAGTCATCCCCCCCCCCCGGTTCTTGTTTTGTCTCTTCGTGCAACTTTCGGCTTCCAACAGCACAGAGGGAAGCGCTTATCAAGATCCAGATGACGGCGATGACAGGAGGGAAACATTCCACCAACAATCACGTCTTTTTCTTTTTTTTCCTACTCCCTTTCGGATATCGATTCATTCAGCAAAAGCTTGTTTCGATGGCAACCGCTGACACCCGAACGACCCGCTACAAGCTGCCTATCTCTTGGCTGCGGCACCGAACCGACGTTGGACAACTCTGAGTGCACCAAAGTAGAGCGTTGTTGTTGTTGTTGGTGGTGGTGATGTCGCTGTCATCAGAGGTTGTCGTTGTTGTTGTTGTTGCTGTTGCTGTTGTTGTTGTTGTTGTTGTTGTTGTTGTTGTTGTTGTTGTTGTTGTTGTTGTTGTTGTTGTTGTTGTTGTTGTTGTTGTTGTTGTTGTTGGTGGTGGTGGTGGTGATGTCGCTGTCATCAGAGGTTGTCGTTGTCGTAATTTCACCCCGGCTCTCTATTTTTCCTCGCCAGGATGGCGGCGTGGGCAGAGGACGCCGTTGCGCGGTGCGTATGTGTGCTGGCGCTCGACCGTTTCGGCGACTACAGCAGTCGGTGAGACTGACGCTATTTGTTTTGGCTTCGCCACCCCGTGGGGTGCCGTATGATGATGGATACGCATGCCTCCACGTCACAAGTAGATCCCCGCCTCTTTCTTGAGATGTCGACAACCGCTGAGGTCGCCGCCTGAAGGCATTGGACTGAGAAAAAATGCTCAAAGAAGGAAACTATACCTTCCCAGAAGTAGCGCTGGCAATTTGGAGAAAGGCTGCCAACAAATATGGAAGTGGTCCCTGTATAAGGCCGCACAGTACTAAGGAATGTTTCGGGCCTAAATGCCGCATGTATAAAGGGGTACTTCGTCCCTTATACCGAACACCCACTTCAGAGTGTGAAACAAGTGGAATACTCCACCTGCGTTGCGCGATTGTAGCACAGGGCGATCAGCCCTATATGCGTCTTATGCAGCGACTGCAGCTGTATCCCCCTCTCCACCCCTCTCCGAGACTCAGAATGTGAGCCCTGCTTGCCCCCCCCAGCACGTGGCAAACGACTCGAAGCCAACACGGGGAGTGAACCAAAACCCTCCAACAACGACTGACCCCCCGAAATAACCAGTCAATACCCGGTCGCCCCCACCCATCCCACTACTGTACCCCTGTTTTTCAGAATGGTTGCCCCTGTGCGAGAGACTGCGGCTCAGCTACTCGCGGTGGCGGCTCTCCAGCTGGAGGCCGACAAGCTGAGGCAGGCGGCCAGACTCCTCTTTGAGCTCACGGCCTCGGGGGAGTGGCAGGCAAGGCACGGCGGGTTCTGCAGCCTGGAGTCTCTCTGCGCTGTGGCCATCACTGGAGATGGCGCCGACGGCAGAGGCGGTGAGACGGAATGCGCAGCGATTGTTTGTCGCGGTTTGGGAAGAGGCCGGGGGGGGGGGCAGGCTGAGAGGAAAGTGGCCCGGGGGTGTTCCGATTTTGATACTCACGGCACATTCCTTTTTGGTTTTAGAGATACCGTGTTAATGTTATTTCCGTACAGAAACAAAACAAAAACATCTCTTATCCACAGAAAGGAGCATGGGATGTATTTGCGATGAGTTCATAGTGCTTTGAATTCTTGACAGGAAATAGGTCCCAACCATGCTTTTCCCTGCCCGAGTCACCCTTTCTTATTTTGTTTTCGCCATCTCCATCCCCCCCCCTTCTCCCCGTGGCCCTCCCCACACGCCCGCCTGCCCGGCTTTCGGCCTGCTCTACCTGTCTGTCCCCACGTGCCCGGTCTGCGTGTTAATCACTCGTCGTGCTCTTGTTATCGTTCTTACCCCGCGATTACTCTATGGTGCGCCCGAGGGTCTCAGCTCCGCCGGAGGTGTCCGCCTTCCTGCACGGCCTCGTGTACCGCGCGGCCCCTCGCGGCCTCTCCGACCCAGCCGAAGACGTCTGCGCCGCCGCCGCTCGGACCGTCCGCCTTGTCATGCGACGGTTTTTGCCTCCGGTTGAAGCCGGGAGGGACAACAACGGCGGCGAGGCAAGGTTAGCGTTGGCACCCGCAGGCCGGCAACGGCAGGAGCGAGGGCCGACCGGCGACGCGAAGGGAGAGGCGGAGGTGTTGAGGAGCTGCGGTGGAGGCGGAGAGGTTTTTGACCTGGTTTGGAAGGCGTTAGAGGACCTGGATCAGGACTCAACCTGCGTCGAGGTACGTGCCGACCGAGTTTGCTGTATTTGCATGACGTCATGTTATTTTACGAAGGCACTACATGTTTGTTGCTTTTCCAGTCTCACATGTACGCACACGGAGCTTTCGGAAACTAACTACTGCTTTTCAATACCTCTCTGGCCTCTCCCGCAACCCTTCCCGCCGTCCGTCCGTCCCGACCTCGAACGTACCGGATGTCCCTTTTCCACCGCTCTCCCGTTTTGATCTGTTCAGGATCTTGCGGATCTCCTGGAGACGTGCTGTGAGGACGTGGGCCGGGCTAGCGGAGCCACCGATCCCTTTCTCTCGTCCGGCGAACGCCGCCTCAACCGCCTCCTCGACCTCTGGGAGGATGTCCGCGCGGGGGTGCGGGCGTGCGCTGTGCGGTCGTTGCTGGCACTTGCGCAGGGAATCGTTGGGTGAGGTTTGGTTCTGGATGTACGGCTACCGCACCCGGCGTGTTGATGCGCAGCAAATATGACAGTCTCTGGTGTATTGCTTACGTGTTGTGTCGTGTGCCACGGTGGTGTTTCACCATGAACCTCGCATATGACCAACAACACACAAAGTCATGGAGGCTAATGGTGCTGTTTTCAGCCTTGGAACTTTCCGCGGAAGAATCGGTCAGGACTTTGCCAACGTTAACCGCGCACACGGGCTACTGCCGATCCAGAGCTATCTGCGCGTTCAACGTCCGGCTTTTTTTCTGAACGGGCACACGATTTGCTTACCTCTTCAGAGCTACTCGGCCAGTGGCGAAAACGCAAAGCGCGGGGGAGTCGGCTGCTGCTACGAGCTGCGAGAGGCTGCTGCTGCGATGCTTCCAAGCGCTACTCTCCGAGCGGGATGACGGAGTCCGGGAACATTCCGCGCGGCTCTGGAGCGAGCTGCTGAAGGGACTTGGGCGGTAAGGAGCCCCGCCGCTTTTTGGAAGTGTAACTGCTGTTTTGGCTCATCATCTTTGAACGGGTCAGTGTTGACCAAAAATGCACGCGGTTTATTTGATGTTATCCCTGTGGTACACCGCGGCGCTTGGAGACGACGACGCAGAGGCGATGCCCCGTTCGTTCAGGCCCGAGAGGCGCGGGCGCGACCAATTTTTAAGAACGGGCGAGAAAGAAGGTTGGAAGAAAACGCGGCACGTACATGGAAGTGGCGCGTAAGAGACAAGTCCGTCGTGACGAAATTTCCACTCTCACGACCACCTTAACGACAAGTACCCTACTCATGGATGGTCAAATATGAAATTCTACCATGAACAAGAGCACACCAAGTTACGAACGTTTTGGCAGTGAACATTTCATGGAGCCATGGGCTTTGAGCTACAACATGACGCCCACTGGCTTGAGTCACTTCCGTCGTCCTTGTACGCAACGCGCACCTACGCGTACTTGAACCAGCGCCGATGGCCACCGCGGAGCGGCCCACGCGTCGCTCATGGCCTCTTGCCTTGGTGTGCTCTTCACACCGCCGGCAACGCGGCCACCGCCTACTACGGCGATGGAAGACGTCACTACTGCTGCCACTGCGGATTCGGCCGCCTCGCCATCATCAGCTTCTACCAGACCCGCACGCCGGCCGTCGAAGCGCGCTCGCGGCGAAACTTCCGGCAGACCCGAAGACGCCTCCGCCGCACGTCCCCCTTCGAAGCACCAGCAACGAGCTGTTCAGACAGATACGACTGTAGAAGGACCGGTGGGGGCAGGGGCGTCGGCGACGTTTTTGGGGCGGTTAGCATCCGCCGGGGCACTGGCGGAGCTCGCCCGAGCTTCTGCTACCGCGGCGGCCGACGGCGAAGAAGCAGCAGCACGCGGCGATTATGCTTCGGCCACCGGAAAGACAGGGTCACCAGGGTGTCGCGGAAGCAGCAGCGGCAAGCGTGCGCGGGCTGCGTCGGACGGACACCGTAGCGCGTCCGACGGCGAGACGGAGGGCGTCGTCGCCGCCAAGAAGACGGCGCAGGAGTTGGTCATGTCCGAGGTGGCGAGAAGAGCGGGGTCGGGGTGGGCGTGGGAGCAAGAGCTGGCCTTCTTTCTGATGGAGGCATGCTGTGCCGGTGGTGGGGTGGGTGCCCGGGGTGGAAGCGGCGGCGGATCGGCGAGCACACGGTGAGTCGCGATCGCAGGCCCTTTGTTTGTGGTGTTCCATCAATCAGTCTTCGCGTCTAGTCGATGCCGCTCTTGGTGCGAGCTTCTTGCAGCGACAAACGGACGGGGGGGGGGGGGGGGTTTNGGGGGGGGTTCTTTTTTCCACCGGGGTCGGTTCAGGCAGAACGGCGAAGGATGGAATGCGGCGACAATGACGCCGAATCGAAGAGAACAAGGCCTGGCGGCGTGATATATACGCGGAAATCTACTGTTGACACTGCTGTGTGGGGGCATGGAAGAGAGGCTAAGATAATGTCCCTCGCGCGACTTAACCCATCGCCCACCAAAGCGACGAAAGGGTGCTTCCCCCAGTACCACCACACAAGCCGTTGCAGCCAAATCTACTCTGTGTTACTGCGCCGGTCCATGGACACCAGCCCACGCACCGCAGTAGCATCATCAGCCAGGCATCGCCCTGCTCGAGCAAGCCCCAAGAACATCGACATGTCATACTCACACCCGCCCGCCAACTTCACATGGCCTTTGCCCGTTTGGCCTATGCCCCCGTGTGCCTCATGGATATCTATGCGTATCACTGTGCGCTCACCGCTGCCTGTTAACAGCTAGCGCTCTCTGTTATGCTGTGGAACCACACGCAACGTCACATCGCACGTACCAAAGTAGTCGACGCTTCGCCGAGAACGGTGGATCGACTCCTTCGCCCAGATTCTTGGTCTTCGCCCCGCCGGCAAAGACGCCAACCCTAGCTCCCCGGAACAGAACGTCTTAACAGGTAGTAGCTGGCAGTGTTGTCCACTCGTATGTTTTGCAGTCCCTGTGCTCCAGCACTGATGATGCTTCAACGTGATCGGGCGCAAACGGAATGTCCTGCGAGCAGCTGCCTTCTCTCGGCGCGCATGCCTCCTCTTCTATACGCCCGCAGACATCCTCTTTGGCACGTAATATAAATGCTCAACTCCAATAAACACCAATTTCAGACTCCTCCCCCCTTAGGTTGGATCCATCTGAAATACTCGCGTGTTTCATGTAGAGCTTAGAGTTTGTGCCCCCCTCCTCCCCGCCCCGCTCACCAAACGACATCATGCCGCGCAGTGGCGACGAGGTTCTAAGCAAGGCAGAGCAAGATGCGTGGGCGGCCGTCGACCGCGCTTTAGCGACAAAGGACGACGCAGCCACCGTCGGCCAGAAGGTGTTCAAGGAGTTGGAAGGCGTGGACAAGGCGGTTTCCGCTGCTTGCAGCGGCGTCATTCGAGTTCTCCTGCAGGTGTGGACGGCGTTCGTCCTTCCCCCGTCTACTTCGTGCGCCTGTCAGTAGCACACTTTCCTGGAAGATGTCCTTGTAGCAACCACCTCCGTTACCGCACCTTCGAGGCGTTGTCGTAGCTACGCTTCCCGGCACCCAAGCCGAATTCGACGCAAGGACAACGTCGTTGTGATGGCGGAAGCTTACGAAGACGTACGAGAGAAACAAACAACCGAACTGCGTACGTCTGTTTAGCGGAGAATTGCGAACCGCGAGGGTGCGCATCACACACCTTTTCGCTAATTACTCGTGTTAGCACGGAGGAGGTGAATAGCGCTACGACCGTAGTGTAGTGCGTTCCTGCGAGAGCGTTCGGCTACGTGATGCGGCGATGCTTGCGATCTTTTTGCCTCGATGTCGTCTTGTCCATAGTTGTGTGGAGCTGGACGCTGCACGAGCATTGGGTATCTGACAAAGCCGCTTCTTCCAGCAAAGCAAAGCACAGCCTCGAACCCATGCACATAGCTCGAGGAGGGTTGGTTTAGTTGTCAAGTACAGCAGCCTCCCCAAGCATTGGCCGTCTTGTACGTTAACCAAAAGTCAAGCGCCGACTGGCGTAGTGGTTTGATTTCGGTTGCTAGAGAGCGCGCCGCCCTCATCCTCGTGCCGCTACCGCTGATGCTTCTGCTGCTGCTGATGCTGATGCTGATGCTGATGCTGCTGCTGATGCTGATGCTGCTGCTGATGCTGATGCTGCTGCTCATACAGGCTGGTGGTGGTGCAGCCACGGCCACGGCCGGAACCGTAGAGCAAGCGTCCCCCGCCGCGGGGAGCGCAAGCGGCAACAAGGGTGTCACGACAGTCACTTCTTCCACCGCCGCCGGTAGCCAAAGGGCGGACGCTGCTGCTCGTAACCCATCGAAGGGCGGAAAATCCAGGTCAAAGGGTACAGCAAAGGCTGCTACTGTTCGGGGTTCCTCGGCCAGGTCTCGATCAACGGCGCCAGTCCCCCCAACGGCCACCCCTGCTCCCCTCCAAGGAGCGGCAAGCGTCGAGAGGACATTCCAGTCGTTGGCGGCGGCATTCGGTGAGACGCTGGTGCCCGTGGACAGGGCCGCGACCAGGGAGGAGAGAGAGGCGGTGTGGACCGGAAGAGTGAGACACTTTCACGCCCGCATACAAGCGCAGCAGGTGAGATTCTTACAACAGACGTTTATTGGCTGCTGCCGTCGCTGATGATGCCGCTATCGTATCTAGCACAAACCCGTCCTGGCTATTTGCTCGAATCCCGCGTCTCCGTGTCCAGTGCTGACTCTGCGTGGGTCGTTGATTGCGGGGACGCATGACGCGAGAGGACACTTTGAGTAGTAGAATTTTCTCCCGAGATTCCGATGACAACGACGTTGATGGCGCGCCTTTCTCTTCCACCACGTCGAAGTTTCTAGCATGGCCGGTGGCTCCTCTTGTCCTCCCCATTTGATTCAAGGCCCCTCCCTCGTTCAGGCGCTGTCTGCCTGCATCCCTTACCGTTCTCTCTCATTCCGTCTACCCCAAAACAGGCCGTTCTCATGAGGAGAGTAACGTCTGCAGCTGCCTCGGTGTACGCCGGCGTTCTCCCCCTTCCCCCCGAGCTCAACCCGGTGTTGCGGCCCCTTGTGTCCGCTGTGAAGAAGGAGCCGGACGCGCAGCGCCGAGGACTCAGGTGAGACTTGATGTGCTGTTGAATACCGCAGCTCCTGAAGGCTGGTTTGAGTTTCAACCCAGACGGCTGCATGTATACCGATGGGTGATCGGTACAGAGCACACGCACCCTGGAGGATCATCCTTGCTTGAAACTCTGGTGTACGGGTCGTGTGCAGGTATAGTCGTCGCCGTAAATCCATCTCCGGCTCGTTATTGTGCGGATTCGCGGGTGCCCTATCTTCGATCATGAACTGGCGAGCTTCAGTACGGTACCTCATCGCACATCTGAGCAGAGATCACGACGCAAGGCACCCGTGCCAGCCAGTCGGGCTCGTACCAGGTGAAATGCGCTAATTCCCCTTCACCCAACCCCTCTGCCTGTCCTTGTATTTTGTGCCCCGCTCTTTGTAATCAATGCCCTGCCTCATGCGTGGTGATACAGTGCCTCCCGCTTGGCTCGCCTGGCCACTGCCCTCCTCGGGGACGCCGCGCGCTCCGAACGCCGCGATGCGGGGGCAATGGTCCTTTTCGGCCTGGCTTCGCTGAGCGGGAAGGGGCAGCAGCAAAGCCTCAACAGCCCCTCAACCGCAGCCGCAGCGGCGACCGAAGAAACGTTGATGGCGGTGGAAGTCGCTTGCGATGGCGCGACGGAGATGCTGAGGCACGCGGTTTCCCTCGCGCCATCGTCGTCAGCAGTGCCCACGGCGCCCGTGCTGCCGCCTGCTTCGCCCGCGTCTGCCGCGAGGCCGTTGCTGGCTCCCGGCTCTACTCGCAGCGACGTCCGCAGTGGCGGTGGTCGTGGCGAAGGGAGAGAAGAGGTGGTGAAAGACGGAGGTCGTGAAGGAAGGAGAGGGAGAGGAGGACGGGGTGGGAAGGCCGTGCGAGACTGGGCGCTGCAGACTCTCGCTCCGCTCTTGCGGCACCCCTCCGGCATGGGAACGCAGGGCGGCAACACCATCGGAGCCGGGACAGCGGCGTTGCCTCGGCCTCAGCGAAAGCTCTCGGCAGCGGAGAAAAAGAAGTCGGCGGACGAGATCCGGGCGATTGACCTGTCGGCCGCTCTTGGGGTAGCGGAGGCGCTGTTGCAGGCCGCTCGTGACCGAACCGCCGCCGCCGCCGCCGCCGCCGCAAACCCTGACCGGGGCGAGCGGCCTCTGCTGGGAAGCCTCCTGCTCGAAACGTCGCTCGCCGCCGGACTGTTAGCCCTCGCGCGGTCCGGGGTGCCCGTCTCCGGCGAAGACGAGGGTGCTGACATTTCTGCCGAACCATCTCATAGACGCACCCGGCTACGCCAACACCGTCGTAGCGGCGGGGGTGCTGGAAATGCCCACGATGGAGGCACGCCGAGCGTTGACGGTGGCGGTCACGCGGCGGCTGTGGCAGCAGCAACGGCGGACGCGGCATTGATCATCGCAAGAGACGCGGCCGCCTTATTTCCGGACGGGTTGTGGGAGGGCCTCCGCTCGGACTTGCTCCCGGCCCTCGCGGCCGGGGCGTGTTCTGGAGATGTCGGTGGTAGCGGTATGCGTGGTGGTAGTTTCGGCGACGGCGGCGTCGGCGGCATCGGCGTTGCGGGAGATGTGAGGGCCGGGCTGGTCTTGAAGGAAGTGGTGGGCGGGATGGGAACCGGCGTGGTGCCGTACGCCGCGAGGCTGCTGCCGGTGGCGCTGCGGGGAATGACGGACGCCAACGAAGAGGTACGCAAGAAAAAACGACTCACGGCTACAAGTTCTTCCGGCCATGTCTACGTTTTATACCCTGCTGGCACGAGCGACCGGTCGCGTGCAGATGAGAATCGACTTGTGTCTACAAACTTGTGCTGATGAGAATACATGCCGCGAGGTCACGCCGGTCTCTAGAGCGGATCACGAAATTTCCCACCGTTGCCTTGCACGATCCTATCCTGTCGTCCCCCTCCGTCGAAGGTTCGTGGCCTCCTGGCGGGCACTTTCAACGAGCTCGTCAAGGCGGTGGCGTTGGCAGCGGACGACGCTGATGACGACGGCCGCGCCGGCGACCACAAAGGCGGGGAGGACCTCGGTGACGGTGGTGTTTCTACGGAGTGTACCATCGACGGACAACTACACGGGCAGGGGAAAGCTTCAGCGGCAGCAGCGGCGGCGCGTGTAGGCAAGGCGGCTGGCGATAGCGTGGAAGAAGACGGCGAGGTACATACGGTGGGCTACCTTAGGTTCATCCACAAGAAACCAGTGGACGTCGGTCGCGGGCCGGCACGCCGGGTCCGGTACCTTACGTTCGATGTTGACGAAAAATATGGCGCTTCTCTCCAAAGCAGGTGTCGGGTTGCTTCTTCCCTGTATCTACACGCCGACGACACGATCTTCGATACCAGCATCCTGCCGCCGATTAAGCCTGTCACCCGTGCCCTCGCCCGTCCCCTGTAGTGAACCCAGTCATGAAAATCGACATGAGTGTATCTCCTTTCCTTTCGCCAATGAACGGCACTGCTATGTTGCCTTCATACACAAACAAGCGATCTACCACCCCCCCCCGTCCCCCATCGGAGTCCTTGTTTTGCCGTTCGCAGTGTGCCCTACCCCTCCCGTCCTCGTACTTAACCACGCGCACACGCTTGCCTTCAAGGACGTTTCGCCTGCTGCGACCGACATTGCTCGCCACATCCCTGCTCTCCTCACTCGGTCCTTCCTTTGCATGACGTCCAATACTCCGACTTCTACTCCATCTCAAGCTAATCGCGAGGCATCTCGTTCGTGGCGAGCCTCTCCCGAGGCTCCACCGAGGCCTTCTACCGGAGGCGCTCGAGCGAAATGCGGCCGCGGGCGTGACGATTCGCCCCTACCAGTGGGAGGGCATCGCTTGGCTAGACTTCTTGAGGTAACAATCCTGGGGATTGGATTGAAACGTAACCGAAGCGAAACGGCGTACTTTGCTTCACGCGCGGCGAGAGTTGTTGTCGGACTCTCGAAAGGAGCGCTGCCATGGCCTGCGGCGTGCGGGGGCCACCGCTCTTGACGTGAAGTTCGTGCATGTTGCGCTCTGATGCGAGAGAAACGTCGGTGTGGCGTTGTACGTTGTTCGTAGGAAGGATGTAGGATCTCGCGGGATGAGGGCTCTTTCATCCTTAGTTATTCAAACACATACCTTTCGAAACCTTGCTGCGCGTTTCTAAAGTGTTGGGTATTGGGTTTCTTCCTCCCGCTGATTTGGCAGTCCGCTGGGCCCTTCATGCGCTGCCTGCCCAGTGCAAGCACGAAACCGCGGTCATCTTTGCTGCTCCAGAGTTGCTTTCCAATTGCCCCCCCACCGACACCCGCGGTGTTTGTTGTTGTTGTTTTTGCTGATGATGTCGTCGTGGTTTTCGGTATTGTTGCTGTTGCTGCCGCTGCCGCTGCCGCTGCCGCTGCCGCCATTGTTGTTTCTTCTGGTGCCGCCTCTTCAAGGCGAATAGGAGCGCACGGCATCCTTGCGGACGACATGGGCCTGGGAAAGACCCTGCAGGCGCTGATGGCGGTCGCCATGTGCCACCACCACCATCCGGGTGAGCACCTTCGAAGGTGTCCTCAATGGGAAAGAAGCACCTTCGAAGATGGCCTGCCTCGCTGAGGGAAGCGGGTTCAGATGGATTCGCGACTTTGTATCGACTGGTAGTTAGATTGGTTTTGCTGTTTTTAATATTGTCGCCAGAACGCCGGGGGAGTTACGTCCCGAAGAGTTTTCAAGCAAATATTAAGCTGTCACAAACAGGCATAAAACAAAAGTGGAGAGTCTGGCGATTTTCTTTGGTCATCGGCCCTTCCTCCGCGAGCCTCGTTTTGTGTTCCTTACCTCGCCGAACCATGGCTGGGCCGCTCGACCTTTGTAGCTTTAAGCAGCAAGTCTCTTCATTTAATAGCGCTCGTATATCGCCCCTCCGCATTTCCCTTCCTCACTTACGGACGGTTCGGGGTGATGCGTATGGTACATCACTTACGGACGGTTCGGGGTGATGCGTATGGTACACCACCCTCGTTGCATGCGTCCTTCGCCAACCACACATGGCTGCATGAACCAATGGCACCATTCTTGCACTCTTGTGCGACTTTTGCTGATTTCATTGCTAAACAGGCCGCCGGTCGCTTGTTGTGTGCCCAAGCATGCTGGTCCATCACTGGAAGGTGAGAGAAAAATTCGAATCAAGTAAACAGCAAGTGGCTGAACTTACCAACTTCTTCGCCGTCAAACAGACCCTATGAGCAGCTTAGTCTGCAACCACTTCAGGGTTGGTCAGTCACTCGAAGCCGCTATACCCCCCAATAAACCAGGCAACTTGGTGAGTTGATATTTTGGTTGTGGGAAATGTCTTTTTTGACTTGAGAGTTGCTGTGCGAGTGCAATTACCCGTGGGTACAAACAACGCAGGAGTTCCAATCTCCGTGTGGAGCCGTCCATTTCTTTTATTGCCTTTTTTGGGTATCGACAAGTTGCGCGACTCTCAATGTCTTCGAGGTTGCAAGTGAGACATCATATCTCGACAACCAGGTCCGTGCTGCTTATTGACCCTAACCAGCCCGACGCACTTCCTCGTAAGTCTTCTTAGCTTATATATATATATATATATGTATCAAGCGCAGGCATGGCTGTGGCACCGTTGCCGGGACGCGGCAACGTCGTTTTCTGCGCAAGCTTTCCTTTGTTCTCTCTCCTCTCCTAACAAACACAGGCAGAGTGCTCGCGCTACTTCGGAGACGGCCTCCTCCGACCCGTCGCGTACGCCGGGCCCCCTCTAGCTCGCCGTCGTCTGGCGGGACGGCTCGGCCTAGGCCCTGCCGGTAACCACAAGGACAGAAACGGGACTAACGGCGATGCTGACGGCTCCCAGGGACCGGGCACAGATGGCGCTAAGGCGTCAGCGGCGGTAGAGGAGGAAGAAGAGCCGGAGCGCGCAAACGTGGTGATAACTTCTTACAACGTCTTGAGGACAGACGCGGACGTCCTTGGAAAGCAGGTGCGACGCTTTCTTCCCGGTGTGATAACGCGGGTTGTTGTTTCCACCCCGGGACGGAAAAAAAATGCATAGAACAATCTAGCCAACGAAAGGCCACGCCCGAGGAGAGCGACAGCGACGAACTAAACAGCAGTCATATCATACCCGGCCGTTGGCTCACGTCGGATGGTTCATGGCCTGCTGCTGGGTAAACGATGAGCTTTTGCTGCCCCTCCAGGCACGGTGCACGTTGCTGTGTGTCTTGTCCGTGCTCGTGATGAGCCCCGCTGTGCTTGCTGCTGCTGTTCTTTGACATGTTTTTGTTGGTGTCGCTATTTAAGGAAAAATAAATACACACACAGAAAGACTACCCATTCGAGATATACCCACAGTCGAACGGGATGTGGTGAGTGGAGTCTTCAGTGAGTGGAGGAAATGCTGCTGCTGCTGCTGCTGCTGCTGCTGCTGCTGCTGCTTCGACCCACTCGGGAAATGTGGAAGTTCTTGAACATACCTTTCCCTTCGAAGATGTGCACCTTGTTTTTGTCTGTGGGTGCGACAAAAAATGAAGGAAACACGAGACACCCATGAACGAACCTATCAACAACAACAACAACCAGCCAACATGAACGCAGGGCTGGCTCTACTTAGTCCTGGACGAGGCGCACCTGCTGCGAAACCCCGCCACTCGCACCGCCAAGGCCGCCAGGGCGCTGAGGTCCAACCACCGCGTGGGGCTGACCGGCACCCCCATCCAGAACTCGGTGCTGGAGCTGTGGTCACTCTTCGAGTTCCTGATGCCAGGGTAAAGAGATGACAGACTGCGTTGTTGTTGCAATGACAATCGTACACATTGTAGCGACGACAGTTATACACCGTGTAACAAATGGAAAATCGTACACAATGTAACAATGACAATTCTACAAAATGGTCAACGACGTGCGCGTACACGCTACCACTCTGTTTTAGAAAGCCGTGGAAATGACGCTACGCTCCGAGGTAAACACCCTTTTGGGGGGCAATTGCTGCCTGTGTGACGGCATCGGGGCTGTATAGTCAAATCCAGTGTATTCCCTGCTTACCAAAGCACTCTATGTCAAGCGGTGGAGAATCTGCGCGTTCAAAGACTGTTCGAGATAGGTATGTATGTGCCACAGCGGCGTGTAACGAGGACGAACTCAGCACCACTGTGTCTGTTTACGCTTGATTTGGCATTCTCCACACACCGTAGTCAATACTCCCTTTGCACCCTGCCCGTGCGATGCATATAAAGGTACTTGGGAAACAGGCGGTCTTTCCAGCGGCATGTGGCACGGCCGGTGCGAGCAGCTCTGTCGTCTGACGGGGATGGAAGGGCCACCGTGGAAGGCCTGCAGGAGCTCGAGAAGCTGCATAGACAGGCAGGAAGTCGTTCGCCCATGCTATTGTGGATAGTGCTTGTGGTGGCGGTGTGTCCGGTCACGTCTTGGGCCCAAACATTACCTGTCCAAGCGCCCAACTCTGCCTATGCCCTCCCCCTCCACCCCCCCCCCCCCCCCCCCCCCCCCCCCCCCCCCCCCCCCCCCNCGCAATCGCAGGCTGGGTCTGGGAGCAAGCAGTAGGATGTGGAAAATTTCGTAAGAGAGCATGACGCAACCTGTGTCTTACGTAAGCTTCACTGCAACGTCAGCTGCACTTAAAGGTTATCTGCTGATGTCTACGATCGTGCTAAACGCCTGCGGTTACCCCTTCAAATTTCATTTCCGACCTTGTGATTTCCCTCTTGTCTGGTGCGTCTAAGCTACTATGCCCAATGTGACTTCCCTAACCCTAACCCTATATATAACCCTCTTTGGCCACGTCTTTGTTTCTTCTGACCCATCCTTTTCATTGCCGTTGTTTATTTTTCCTCTTTTTTTTTTGCAGGTGTTGCCATTCGTCCTCCGGCGGGAGAAGAGCGAGGTACTCGCCGACCTCCCCTCCAAGATCATCACCGAGATGGTGTGCGATCTCACGCCCGAACAGCGACGGCTGCACAACATATGGGCGCGAGGAGGTATGCATGTACTGAACTTTTTTTTTTTTCCCACAGCAGTTCATGTTGCGGGGCACTCGGGGTGTAGTTTATTCGCGGTCAATATTGTCTCACTGTGTTTCTGTTTCTGGTCGCTTCGAGGGTTTAGCACTCGCCGTGTGCTCTCGACCATGCATCGTGCCGGTCGTTTAGGTGACGGGGGGCGCGTTCTGGCCGCCGTTGCTCAGGCCGAGGAGATGGAGGCTGCCAGGTTGAGGGCCGTTGCGTCCGCCGCGGTGGCGGCTACAGCAGCAGCAGCAGCAGCAACTGCAACCTCGGAACGTTCTGCAGAACCTACCGGACACGTTGATGGCCCCACTACGGCAGCACCCACACCTTTCCCGGCAGTAACCGCTACCGGCGGTGATAGTGCCGCCGGCGATGGCGGTGCTGCTACCGCAGATTCGCGGGGCAAAAATACTACCACGGAAGCGAGCAGGGCGGCTGCGCCAACGGGACGACTTTCCTGTGGGGCACAGGTGATTCTCCCGGGCCAAACCTAGCCTGACTGGTGTAGTTCTCTGTCGACGCACGAGTGGCATATTCCCAGCAATAATGCCTACATGTTCTAGCTTCGTTTCAGATACACTGTGAGTCACCTGGTGGGTATCGTCTCGTGTGGTGGGAAAATCTTGGGGGTGCCATCAGGAATGTGCCGCTTGTGGTGCCGATGCGAAGGGAACCAGTCTAATTTGAAAACGTTGCGCGTTCGTCGCGCGTAGACGCCACAAAGTTCTGCTACGTGCGACGCGTTCCTGACCCGATCAGCTGCTCAGGATCCAGCGAACTGTAACTATGAGAGACGTTCCTCCCTCTTATGATCCCCGATTGCCCGTGTCGACCGCCGGCGACATCCACGACAACAACGATATCAACCACGACAGACGCTGGCTTGTCTGTCGAAGCTGCAGCTGCTGTGCGTACATCCTTCTCTGGTGGCTCCAGAGGAAGGGACGAAGCGGCGGGAGATGAGCGAGGACGTGAAGCTGTCGGGGAAGCTCATGGCGCTCAGAGAATTGCTCTGGGATGCGGGCATCGGCAAGAGGTATTTATGTCTCAGCATTCCGAATTGCTTTGTATCTTGCTACTTTATTTTCGTCCGCCTGTACGCCAGCCCCCCCCTAAAAACCGTTCATTTCCACCGTCTGCTCTCTTGTTGTTTTTCCGCATCTTTGGCATGGTTTGATGATCGAGAGACATGGGGAAACGATCTCCGAGTTCCCGCCCGTGTAAGGGTTGACAGTCTCGTATACATTTGGAACCGATACCCACTGTACACCATCGCCTGTGGTGCTCGTTCACAGAGGCAAGCCAAACAATCCCCGCCCCCCTCTTCCCCTGCCGCCGCCCTCCCTCAATCCCCTCCGCTCTTCCCCCGGCTTTGGTTACCGCTTGCACCAATCTTGACCCGTGGTTCCGAAGACAAACGTCGGTGTCCGTCGGCGGCGGCGGTGGCGGCGGCGGAAGCGGAGAATCCTCTTCTGGCAGCGAGAGCGTCGACATCGGCAGCAGTGATAGCGACACGGGCACTGTGGACGACAGCAGTAGTGACGACAACGAGGAGGAAGAGGAGGAGAAGGAGGAGAAAGCAGGGCGAACAGTCAACGATGGAAAACGTCGACGCAGTCTTGAGCAGCGTCAGTCAAGTAGCGACAGCCGAAAACGAGGGAGAAACAGCCGCGGCGGGCCCGAGGGTGGAGGCTCAAGAGCGGGCTACACCAACCCTAGCCCCGCAAAAGCCGGCCCTAACAGCAGCACCAGCAGCCCGGGAAAGCTGGATACGAAACGGCCCACCGTCGGCACTGCTGGTTCTTCTGTTCGAGCGGCGAGGTCCTCGTCGTCTCGGGCTCCTGCGGAGAGTACGGGTAAGGGAGGAAAGCCCCCCCCGACCTCCACCACCCGCGGGAAAGGGTCCTTACCTCGGCAAGAGGAAGCGACGACCGCGGGTGATGGTGTAGCGTCTCCGCTGCCGGGCTGCAAGTGCCTCATCTTCGCCCAACACAAGTGAGTCTACTGTAGGGAGATCGTGTTTGTAGTTAATTTTTTTGCCCTGAGCCAGAAGGGCGTGAGTCAGAAGTTACACTGGATTTTTCGTCCGTCGTTGATGTCGGCCTTTCACCTCGTGTCTGCCAAGTCTTCGCTGTGTTGTATGTGGCAAAACGTGGAAGACTCATGGAGATGGCGATAATCACCTCATCTGTTCCTGCGCAAGGAGCATTCCACTCGAACCACCGTTCACTGCCCCCTTCAACCCCGCGGTGCTGCTCTTTTACCTACGGTGCACAAATGGTCCAAAACAGAGCGGCCCTGGACGTTACGGAGTCCGCGCTGCTGCGTCCCTGCTTCCCCGGGGTCAAGTACCTCCGGATGGATGGATCGGTGTCTCAGGCGGAGCGGGCGGCGGCGGTGGACCGCTTCTCAGCGGACCCGTCGGTGGCGATACTGCTCCTTACCACGAGGGTGGGACACCTCGGCCTGAACCTCAGCGCGGCGAGCATGGTAGTGTTCTTGGAGCACGACTGGAATCCACAGGTGGACTTGCAGGTGCGAGGATGTGCTGGCGTTTTAGGGTGCTGCGAGCGGATAACACGACCGACCGACCGACCGACCACGTACACGTTTTTCAAGTGAAGAGGGTTGGTTGCCTCTTGCTAATTGACTGCACGCACACCCGTGTCGCACCCGTTCGTTTACCCGAGACCCGGCCCGGCCTTTGCTCGTATCATAGGAAGAACGTTTGCTCACATTCCACGTTTTCGGCACCTTCCTGGGCCCTTCGTCCACCCTCTCGTGAAAAAACCGTCCCTCTCTCTCTTTCCTCCTCGTCTTTGCTCGAACCGGAACAAACAGGCCATGGACCGCGCCCACCGCCTCGGCCAGCGCAAGGCGGTGAACGTGTACCGGCTCATCGCGGCGGACTCGGTGGAGCAGCGCGTCCTGCGGCTGCAGGGGCACAAGCTCCAAGTGGCCGGCGCGGTCGTGAGCCGCGAGAACGCCTCGGCCTTCTCGAGCGGCACGGGGGGCGTCCTCGGCATGCTAGGCGAGGCGATGGCCGTCGTTGCTGCGGCGAACAAGAAGAAGGATGGGGGTGGCGGTGATGACGGGGAGAGTGTTGAGCTCTGGAGCGCGGATGAGGACTACGCGTACCTTGCCGCCGAACGCCTGGCGGACTCCGTGGCACGAGAGTAGCGAGAGGGACGCTGGGGCAGTTTTTTTCGTGCTTGAGGGCAGCGGTTGGTCGGTTGGCAAGAACAGCGGTAGCTAGCGGGTCAGGAGGATGACGCTACGGCTGTTGCTTGATGGTGCGTTGCGAGGTCCGTTTGGGGTGCGGTTTACACCGGTTGGGGGCAGTGAACTATGCCTCTGGGGTACTGATGATGAAGGATTTCCCGTGCTGCCTGTAGACGACAGTGTTCTCGGAATGGTGCACGGATTTTGATACTGCACGGGCATCACTCGTTTTGAGCTTACTTGGGCGAATACTGAGGATGTTCTTTAAGACCTATAGAAAGATTCCGGTAGCGAAAATGGGTTGTCATAGATTTTGACGCGTAGACATGCCGGTGCCGACACGAAGAACGGCATCAACGCATGCAAGGGAGGCTGCCACCCGAGAGGCTATAAGCTTCTGGTACACCGCTCGCCTGTGTCTACATATTGGCCGACCGAGTGTCGAAAAAGTTTTGGTGACATGACACTCTCCTAACTTAGAGCTACGTCTGCAGAGGATAAAGTTATGTTTTGAAAGATAAAACGGCACCATGCAACGCAACCTACAATCTTCCTCTTGGCGCGGCTCCCCTTGTGCAAACCATGATACGCCGGGACTGGAATGATAACCGGGATATTGACGCTGATTAACGCCTGAAGTAAAACGAAGAAGATAAGCAGACAAAATTATTAGGGTAAAAGTGCAAGACGAAAAAATCACACCGACGGACGCAAACCAAGGGTCTGGCCTCCTTGCCCAATCAACCACCCCTCCCAATAATCACCCATCACGTTTACCCCCACATATTCATCACCTGTGGGGTTTTAGGGTTGGTAACATTACCTTCCCAGGATCAAGCAACATTTCACCATATGATGTCGACCGCATCATGTACTCGCTGACCGAGGAACTCCATTGGTGGGCTCACAACCAATGTGTGCGATTCCTCTTCAGTGTCCTTCCCCGATTTCTTTCCGGTTCGTTTCGCTCAAGGTGGTGATGGAGGCCGGGCCGAGACACGTCCCTCATAACCACTCGTGTTCTTCTCTTCCTCAACAAGTTGTCCCTACGTGTTGCGTAATCAAAGGGCGTTACCACCCATGCTTGTTCCGAGTACTTCCCTTGGACACAACGTCACTTCTCAAACAAAATCGTAAATCGAGATCAACTAGCAACAGCAGCTTGTCCGACTACCTCAGCCCTCAACTTCGCCGGCAAGCTGCTGAGGGAGCTTGTCCATCTCGGCCCTCAACTCCGCCGACGCTCGCAGCGTGGCCCTCTTGAGGCGCTCGTTGGGGGCCTCCTCGACGGCCCTCCGGCACCTCGCCAGCACCCGCTTTCGGAGGCTGTGGAAATGGTGCCTGATGAGCTTGTCGCAACCTTTGGGCGGGTGGCGGAGGTTGGCGACGGCCGCGTGCCGGATGGTCTCGAGGGTCACGCGGGCGTTCTCGTGGGCGGAGGCCTCTTCCGTCTCCGCGGTCCCTCGGCCCCGCATGTTGCTACGCCCTCCACCTGGGATGGAAGAGGGAGTAGTTGAGCAAATCGAAGCACGTACGCACCGACAAACATTATTTTACCGTGGGGTGGATGAAAGCGAAATGGTTATATATTGTCAAGACATTTTGCGTGGGGTGTCGTTCTGGTCAACACATTTATGTTCCAAAACTAGCGCCAACAACTCGGATCAAGCAATTTGGTTTGTTGTACGAACTACTCGTCACGATCGCTCTTGTACACGGCCGTCATTTGATCTTGAGAGAGGGGGCGTCGATCATCCTTTTTTTTTTCAATGCTGTTCGCAACTTGTGTTGCGTTCTTCCTGGCAATGGTTCTATCCGTTCAGTTAGCAAACCGTAGTTTGCTTTTCAGGACTGATGGTTGTTCAGCTGGCAAACGTCTACCTATACGTACATGATGCACAACACGGCTTTGTTCGAACGACCCTGTAACTACAGATGATTGATTCCTCACGGATGGACAGGAACTGATAACGCGAGAGAGTCACCTTCGTTGTAGTACGGGTCCTTGACGAGCACCTGGGTCTGGATGGATGCGAACACCTGAAGGAAAAATAAGAAGACATCGCAAAAACGATCGGGACGTGAACAAGAATGAAAGCAACACGCGAACGATACACCACAAGTCGCGAGAGAGACCACACGTTTACAAGTAGGTAGGGAGGGCATGCAAACATGAGCAGCAAGGAATAACACCGAGGGGCTCTTCTTCGAGGAGCGCGTCGGCATGTTCATGGTTTCTCCTTGGTCGGGCAGAGCAAAGAACTGCTGTCTGTGATAAATCGTCATGCATCTACGAGAGGAACCTCTTGGACTTGCTTTGCTGCCGAAGTGTGGTTCGCGGGATACTACTCAGATGAGAACCATCACCTGCCACAGCGAGCTTGTCTCGGGGTTCCACTTGTCTCCACCGCTCGCGCTGGCCCCGGTAGCACTCCCGAGGAGGCTGAGGCACACCTTACCGTCGGAGTAAAGGTTCACGTTGAACCTGTCGAGCAAGAGGAACATATTTTGTTGTTAAATTGGGCATCCAGGAGGTCCTTCGGGACCTCAGCGGTGGTAGATCGGCAGTCAGGTTTCGAGCACTCGCACCTCCAAAACAAATGACTTAACCCTGGTGGAAGCAGTTTGAGCGTCGTCAACGTTGAGATCCTCAAACGGACGTAAAGCGTTTTTCTGCGTTTCGCTCATTCGGCAAGAGTTTGGAGCGGTGGAGCCGTGCAACAACATGTGACCCCGGTTGGGTCGTCTAGCTGGTAGAAGTGGAGGATAGGGGCCAGAGGGGCAGACGACAGAGTCCAATGATGGGAGAAAAACAAACAAAAAAAAACAGGAGCACGACAACAAAGGTCGCTTGCCCCATCTCTTGCTGTAACGTCGTGACAGCAACAACATGTGAGTCTACGGTGTACTGCCGGAATGCCAACAACTTGAAACACAAGTCAACGCAAACAACAACAACAACAACAACAACAACAACCACAACAACAACAACTCACTTGACCGTGCCCTGGCCGGTCGTAATCATCTGCACCAGGGGCGGGTCGGACGGGTAGTTAGACGGCAAGAACACGTCGAACACGAACAGCCCGCCCTCGTACGGGGTGTCCACGGGCCCCGAGATCACGAAGCGGGAAAAATTGAGGGCGTCCTCCTCGACCACCGCGAACACCGCGGAGTTCGGGTGCGGTGGGTTCGGGAGCATCCGGGGGAGCTTGCGCATGATCTCGGTGGCCACCTTGCGGGGGTAAGTAAGGGTGGAACCCTCCCTTCGGCTGTCGAAGTAGTGCCCGGGAGACAGCGACTCCACCTGCCACACATGCGTGTAAGCAAAAACCGTGTGCGAGGACAGAGGGCCGATCAATCTTGGCGTTTCGTTCTTTCGGAGAGTAAAAACGTACAACGCCCGATTGGGCACGATAAGGGGGGAAAGCGCAACGCTTGGTATGTACTCGAATGTTCCCATGCGACGGTTACGGACGTCATCAAAGCGGTGCGTGATGAGGGGCAACAAAATAACCTGCGTGTAGGCAAATTGACTCAAGTGGTGGTGAAAGCACACACGGTCGACAATGTCGCCTGTCTCATACCATAGAGCATCGTCATGTTTCGCCGTATATCATGACATGTTGAACTCCCTTCTCTCTGCAGTCACCCTGGCTCATGAGCCGAGCGACAGGTTTGCAGCCACGAGTGCGGCATCAACCAGCTGGCCGACGCCTACATCCTTCAGACGGAGGCGGGGCAGTCTGCAACACGTTCAGCCAAATTCCTGGCGCATAGATCACCTTGTACTAACGGGGCTAACGGGGCCCACGGCGAGCAACACGACGGAACCGGGCGAGAAAGCAAAGCACGCTACATAGAGGCATCGGACCGGCAGCCCACACCTTACCTGGGTGTGCACTAGGTCTGCGATGGCGTCGCCGTACTCGCGGACCAACTCCTCATCATCCGCTGCCATTTCCGGAACCCCTTCAAACGGATCTCCGCTGCCGCCGGTACCCAGTCCTCCTTCTCCTGCCACGGCGGCCGCTGCTGCCTGCTCCTCCTGCATTTTACGGCGGTCCTCGTCATCCGCTTCCAGAGCCCGCGTCAAGCGCGCCAACGCCGGCGTCCCGCTAAGGCCCGCGCCGCCCTCCCCCGCCGCCACGGCCTCCAGCAGCCGGCCGTCGAACTCCGAGTCGGCGTGGTGCAACGCCGCAACGAAGGCTCGGGTGGGGGCAGCGTCGCCGTGCGCTGTGAGGCCGACCAGCAGGTCACAGGCCATCCCTCCTAGCTCGGCCTGGAGGGGAGAACGGGCGAGGAGCCCGCGTGCGGGACATATTTTATCCGTCTCAGCTTGATGGTGGCGCTCCATTCTACTATTTTGCCACCTCTGGGTATGCCTATCTTCAACAAGACGGAACATACATAACCAACGTACACGCCGTAGGCCGCACAAGGGACCACGTCCCCTGGCCCGATTACTCTCGTAACGAAAACAATGACGGTGCCGAAAACGGCGTGGCTTTGAAAACCGTCCTGTCGAGAGCCCTCCGAGAGGATGTCATTCGATTTTGGCATCCTCTTCGTCGTGGAGCAATCGAGCTTTGAGAATCGGTCCAAGGGGTGTGTCATCTTGTGAGAACCACGTTACGCACGCACAAATACACACCGTATCTGGCTTTGATTCGGAGTGAAGCATAGCCTCCCCCATGACACCCTCCCACGTGGTCCCAGATCATAGCCGTTAGAAGCATGTTTTGTTTTCAACCGCACTGAGATTGACGACTTTTTATTGGTCAGCCGGTTAGCGCAAACACACATACAAGCACCTTGTCGAATCCCCACGCGTTCGGATCGGCCACCGCAAACGCGGCCGACTCCTCGCCGTAGAGAGAGCGGAGCATGCCCGACAGCAGGGCGGCAGAGCGCGCTCCCAGCTCTCCAACGCGGAGGGCATCCATCACCTCCTTCTCCTCGCCGAGGGTGGTCAAGAGCGTCAGGACCGGGACTGTCCTGCCAAGAGAAACAGACCAGAGGCACAAGACAGTGCAGCAACGTAGGTGGCCAAATTAGCTTGGATGCCTAGTTTGGGGCAATCCAGAACGAACCGTTCCACGAGGCGTGCAACATGCTTTACGAGAGCGGGATGTAAGAACCACGCAGATTAATCTGGCATACGTGCGTGCTTTTGAGATCCTTTTTGCAGGGCACGTCCTGAACGGCAAGACTAACAAGTTACCAAGGTCAGAGTTAAAAACGCCATGACCGTAACCCTAAGTTAGCGGTTGTTATTACCGAGGGTATGTGGTCGCGCTCTTGTGACGGGCCTCTTGTCTGCAGTGGAGGACCGGGCATTGGTTGAGCGCGTTGACCCTCAAACATCCTCAAACTTCTACTGCAGGACTACCGCTGTCTTGTAGATAGGTGTGTGGGAGCGGAGTGATCCAAGCAGGTGCGTTCGTGGGGAGACACCTCTTGCTTCACGCCCTCAACATGAAAAATATGGTGTCACAACTGACACCGCAGCCGAAAAATAACTTCAAGAGGCTTCTATCGCCACGGCTTGTCTGCTCGATTTGCGCACACCCAGCGCTTACATTCTCAAGGTCCCACAGACATACCTACCCATCGGTCAGCACAGCCGAGTCTTCTGTTGTACACCCTCACACCAACGAATGACCAGCATTCCTGGGACGGTCCAGCCGCATAGAGCAAAAACCGCTTTACAAGCCTCTGCCCTTGTTTGCTAACGACAGAACACAACTTGCACGTGTGATAGCAAACAGCTAAACCAAGCGACTGGTAACTGGTGTGTGTGGTGACCATATTCGGAGGTAACTTCGGGACTACAAACAAAGGAGAGGGTTTTTGACGTCGTGCAGGCCTCTTGCTCTTACATGTTCTTGAGCGCGGAGACGACCTGCTTTCGATCGGACATGTATTTGTGCCAGTGCTCATGGCCGGCCTCGAGGGACCTGCCTCCGTTGCCCCTCTCCTCGATCACGCCGTCCCTCAGGTGGTCCAAGGCCAGGTTGAAGAAATAGTTGATCGTGTCGAAGGCGGAGATGAAGAACTCCGTCGCCAGAGGCCTGGCATCCGCCGAAGCGGTCTCCGCTGTCGTCGTTCTACCGCCGCCGCCGCCGCCCGACATGCTCACACCGCCAGTGGCCGTGGCTACGTCCGGCGACGGCGGGGTTGACGCCGCCGTTGTCGATGTGGCCATCGAGGCGCGAACGAGGTCGAGGATCACCCGTCGAGGTTCTCCCAGAGGATGAGACCACAGCTGAAGGAGGATGGTGCCTACGCGCACCCGGACGCTTTACAGTTCCAATATTGTCACGTGTAGGTGAAGGCAAGCACACAAACGCCGGTTTGAGCGAGGATGACCGAGCGTAGAGCGAAATGTACCAAAAACAACATAAATACAGGCAGGTCATCATGCAACACTGTGGATTCATTGCTAAGCTATCCCGGACTCTTATCTGTGAAAGAGGTTATTGCAATACTTCTATGTTGTGCTATAAAGAAGCCCGGAACCGGCGCTCAGACAGGGGGCCACGGTTTGGCGGCGTGAGCGAAGAACGTCCTAGATGAATTAGACAGAGAGATTTCGAGTAACGCAACATGTATAGCGACTGTCACACTAGCTAACGCCTGAAGAGCTCGACGGCAACACGTTCTTCTCTCGTCAGCCAAGCGGAAAACCGTTGCGATATCGGTATGGTTTCAACATGTTTCCGTGTGCGCGCGTGCGCGCGCCGGTCGATACCACCGAAAACAAACAGACGCCGGTCACAGGAGGCCCGTCGGGCAAGCCGCAACACCCACCTAAACTTAAAATATCCGATGTATTCGGTCGCGGCCATCCCTTCGATCTGCTGAACCGACGCGTACAGCCTCATGAGCTGTCGCGGGAGCGACGTCCTCAGCTCTTCGCTGTCCAAGATGGCCCCGGCATACCCGCGTCGATTCCCCCAGTACATGGAGCCGCTGAATCCCCCAGACCTTGCGACGGGGCCGTTTCTGCTGCTTCCGCTCCGGCCTCTCTCGTCCTTCTCTAGGGCCCAAGTGCCTGTCTGGATGAGGGTCTCGAGGACTTCCACGAGCTTGTTCTGCGTTACCGGCGACAGGCGGAGGTCCACCTGTCCCATGTACGCGAATACGTGCGACCCGAAAAGCGTCTTCATCACCTATATCAACTGACCAAAAGCGTATTCACTAGTGCAACTGGAGAGAAGAAGCATATTCATCGCCTCGTCTTTATCACTGAAATACAACCATCAAACAGCGGCTTCACAATTTTCCCTGTTACGAGCTGAAAATCATTGTACCTTTCCGTATCGGGTAGCTCAAACTCTCAGGTAGGGGACAATAGTGCATCGTCTGTATGTATCGCATGGCCAAAGATCCGGGAGTCGCGTTTATGTAGTGCAAGGAAGATGGCACGACTCACCCGCTCCATGATCTTCCCGCAGAACGTGGCCGCGTCCTCCGCAGCCCGGCGACTCAGGAACTGTTCGTCTCGACCGTTCGAGGCACCCCGCACCCAGGAGGCGCAGATCGTCTCGATCAGCGAAGGGGCTATCTTCGACACGGACGTCGCCGACGCGGCTGCTGCGCTCGCGATACCCTCAGAGGCCGCAACGGGGGGGGGGGCACCGAAAGGGGACCGCAAACCGTTGCTGCTGCTAGTGGCGTTACCTTCGCCGATGTATAGCTCGAGCCACGCCGCGGAGAAGAGTGCCAGCTGACAGGCGTGGCCCGTGACCGCGTTCGAGCTGAAGCCTTCCACGGACCAGGCGAGAGAGATGGCGGAGTCCGCTTCTTTGAAGATCTTGAGCGCAAACCCGGCCGTGCCGCGGCCTGCCTCGTCCTCCCCTTCGGCATCGCCGCGGCCGGAGAGAGAGCGCCCCGTTCTGGCAAGCGCTATGTCGCTGATTCTCTTGCGCATCTCCCCTCGCCGGCGGTCGAGGGGGCTCACGATCACCTGGAGCGCGCGGTGAGTGAGGAAAAAGAGCTCGGTCGCGAAACTGAAGCTACGTCGAGGTGGTTCTTCTTGCTCTCGCTCTTCCTCTTCTCCTTCGTCATTCGCCGCCGCCGCCGCCGCCGAAGCCACTTCGTTTTCGACGTTATCACCACCCCCGCAAATCGTGGCAGCCGCTGCAGCCTCTCCACTGCTCTCTCGCTGTTCTCCTGCCCTCCGGTCTTTTTCCTCTTCGACGCCTCCACTTTCGTGTGCTGGTGTAGCTTCTGCTGCTTCGGCTACACCCCCTTCAAATTTCCCGTCTCTATGGCCGACCTCCTTATCGCCCTCGCAGTCGTCGGGATCGTCGTCGTCGTCAATCGAGGCTGCCGGCAGGCCGCTCGACCAGTTCACCGAACCTCCTTCGACGTAGTCGATCTCGACCAAGTCCATGCTCTGTGTGCCACAGCGCGAAGATCGGAGGGGGCGGGGGCGGGACAAGAAATGCGAGACAGAGAGAGAGAGAGAGAGAGAGAGAGAGAGAGAGAGAGAGAGAGAGAGAGAG